GGAAGACCTTTGCGTGAACAATCTCACAGCAGATATGATACATGATAGGACACAATGGCGTCATTTGATTCATGTAGCCGACCCCACTTAGCAAGATAAGGCGTTGTTGTTGTTGTTGTTTACCTACATCATCAGATTCGGAGCCATATGAAGAAGAGGGATGCTGAGCGTTGGGGAGGGTAGTATAATCCAAGAGATTAGCAAATCTTTCCGGATCCTCTAAGTTGCTTGGCTCAACAATTTCTCCCAGTCCCTCTTCCCTAATTTGTTCAATGACTTGTGAGATGTCAGGTTCCTTCTAATGGCTATCCCCATCATCTATGGGCTTGGCCACAAAATTTTTCTCTGACCTTAACTGGTCTTCATTTGTTTCCACAGAAGTCCTGATCTCAACATTGCCCCCAGCAATAGTGTTGGGCTCTATTGTCTAGCCCAATTGTTCCTCATGTGAAGAAAAAGTAGCTGTCTTATTGCCAGCCCCATGTGAAGAAAAAGTAGCTGCCTTGTCACCAGCCTTATGTGACACTGTCTCCGGGTCCTTGGGGAGCATCACATGGTCTAATGGAGCCTTAGTCAAAAATATATCATTAAAGTCTAGTGGCTTACTCAAGGATGCCCCCCTTTCCAAATTCAAAGTACCCTACTTTTTAAACATCCTGCCGGTAGTTTTCCATTCTTGGGAGACCACGCCTTTGACTGGTTTGGGGCCGGTTCCTTGGGCATATCCGGCTTGCTAGATTCCCCAATTGATGGGCCCAGTTTAGGGTTTGAGGTGCTTGGTGCAACCGCCTTTCCAAAGGATGAGATGCTATGCCCACAATGCCTAGTGAGTGCAGTAGGCTGAGACAGATTCATACTCAACATTATAGCACGATGCTGGATGTGAGCCATGGGGATCAGTTCTTTCGAGAGATCCATTTCCACACAGAAACGGGCAGCTGATGGTCGAGATAGAGTAAGTGTGGAGGTATCAAGCTTGAGTGGTTTGCTGAGCATCTTGGCAATGGAACGGAGGGCACTTTTCTGATGAAGATGGATGGGAAGTCCCGGGATGGAGACCCAAAACAGGGGTGAGTGGAGATTCCTCCCCAGGTACAAACTCCGGCGTCCGTTTAGAGAGCTAGATGGAGCAGCCATTGGTTTTTCATTCTTGTCTGAAAAAGAGGCGTTTATAATCTTCTTCATTAGCAAGGTTGATTAAGATGTGGTCCCGATCAATGACCTGCGGAGAAGCCTCCCTTCAAGGCAGCCCTTTTCAGAGAGGTCTTGACCGCACTTAGAGAAGTATGTCCCCTGCGAAAAGATCCAACTAAGGCAAAGGAGAACTTCTTAGAAAGAATGTTGAAGTCTTCCGACGTAAAGGAAACACGTGGCAGCCCCTTATACCGGAAAACGTCCTTCTCCGGTATGGCACATTCTGGCACATTCACTGTCACCATTGACCACTGAAGAAAAGGATCGTGAGGCCCCCTCTGGTGGAGGCCGACCCGCAATGAAAGCAGCAAAGGATAGTGGAGCTCCATCGGGTGGTGGATGCCGGTGGTAGGAGGGCGGCCCGTGGAAGTTTTACTGTAGCTATCTTTATTGAGAGAGCCATTGGTGATCATACATGCATACATACATACATACACACATACACACATACATAGGGTAAATTTCATGAATGGTACCTGAACTTTTAGCTGTTTTTCATTTTGGTACCTAGACTTTTTTTTCTTTCAAAAAAATACCTGAACTTTGAAAATTATTCACAAATAGTACCTGGAGCCGGTTTTCAAGTAATTATCAGGTCATTTGGGCCAAATTACAATTTTATATATTTTAAAATCTTCAATTTGACCTCATTTCTTTTTTCTTCTTCTCCCCCCTCCCACTCCCTTCTTTTTCTTCTTCTTTCCCCCCTGTTTTTTTCTTCTTCCTTCTTTCACCCTTTCTTTTCTTTTTCTTCCTTCTTTCACCCATTTTTTTCTTCTTCTTCATTAAACCCTCCGCTCACAACAACCCACCCCTCCCTACTTGTTGAACCCCACCCCCTTCTTGAGTCCCCTCTTTTTTTTGTTAAATTTTAACTTCCTCTTTAAGTTTTTTTTGGTTTTCAAATTTTTTGTTGAATAACTTTTTTAATTTTTTTCAATTTTTTTCTTTTTATTTTTTTTGTTTTCGGTCTATTTTGTTTGTATATTTTTTTGTTTGTTTCTATTTTCTTCTTGATGTTTTAATATTGTTTGTTTGTTTACGATTTTTGTACAAACTTTTTTGTTGCTAACAAATGTCTAATTTTTTGTTTTTTTGTTTTATTTTTTGAATTTTTGGTTTGACTTAATCAATTGTGTTTAATCATTTTAATTAAACAAAAAATCAAAGCACGCATCTTATTTTTTTTTCTATTTATAAATCTTTAGTGTAAACAATTAAACAAAACAAGTGAATAAAATAAACGCTACATAAATAACTTAAAAATGAAAACAAAAATAAGACAACAGGAAATTCTAAAAAAACAAACAAAAAATAAGACATATAGTACCATTTTTGTTTCATATTTTTTCAAAAACAAGCAAATAACATCGAAAAAATATGAAAAAATGACACTATATGTCTTATTTAGTTTGATCTTTTTGTTTAATTAATATGTATAGTTTGATCTTTTTGTTTACATAAATTTATTAAATATAAAATAACAAAGTTATTAACAAAAAAGATAAAAGATAAAGGAGAAAATAACAAAACAAATAAATAAAGGAAGAAAGAAAGAAAAACAAAATGGAAAACAAAAAAAAAAGTAAAAAATGAGAAAAGGAAAAAGGAATAAATAATAAATAAAGATTTCAAGAAACAACTTTTTTATCTTTTTTCTTGATATTTTTAAATTGTTTGTTTGTTTAGAATTTTTTTTGTGAACTTTTTTTGTAAGTTTTTTAAATCTATTTTTTTAAGAATTGTCTTATTTCTTTTGTTTGTTTTACTTTTTTATTTTTTGATGTTGTTTTATCTTATTTTTGTTTGTTTTTGATCATTTTTTGTTTTTTATTTTTATGCTATATTTTATTTTTTCATCAAATGAAGTAAAAAAACTAATTGACGTTTAGATTCATTTTTTTGTGTGTTGTTCTTTTTTTATGTTTTACTTACTCTTAGTTTGACTTATTTTATTTTATTAATTAATTTTTGTATTTTATTTATCATTTTAGTTAAACAAAAAAAATCGTACCATACGTCTTCTTTTTTGTTTGTTAACATTTTTTGTCTGTTTTCAAATAAAATAAACAAAAACACTAAATGCATGGTATGCTATTTTTGTTTAACTAAAATGTTCAATAAAATAGAACTCATCAATTAATAAAATAAAATAAGTCAAACTAAGAATAAGTGAAACATAAAAAGAGAACAGCCCCCAAAAAAAGAACGGATCCAAATGCTAATTAATTTTTTTCTTCATCTTTATGAAAAAATAAAATATAAAAAAATAACAAACAAAAAAATAAGACAAAACAATATCAAAAAAAATAAAAAATTAAAACAAACAATAAAATGAAAAACTTCTTAAGAGAATAGGTAAAAAAACTTACAAAAAAAGTTCACAAAAAACTCGTAAACAAACAAACAAATAATATAAAAGTATCAAGAAAAAAGATATAAAACAAAAATTTTAACAAAACAAACCAATAAGATTGAAAAAAACAAAAAACAAGAAACAAAAAAATGTGAAAGAGGAAGGACAAAAAGAGGGAGCTCAAGAAGAGAGTGAGAGGGGATGATGGAAAAAAAGAGGAAAGGAAGGGGGGCTGGGAGGGGTAGTGGTTGGATGAGGGGTGCTTTGAAGAAGAAGAATAAAAGGGGGTGAAAAAGAAGAAGAAGAAAAGGGGTGAAAGAAGAAGAAGACAAAGAGGGGTGGGGGAGGGAAAAGAAGAAAAAGAAACGAAGTCAATTTAAAAATTATAAAATACCAAAAATTAAAATTTGGCCCAAATGACCTGATTACCTGAAAACCGGCTTCAGGTACCATTCATGAAAGGTTTTCAAAGTTCAAGTTTAGATACCGAATCGAAATTTTCGTGAAAGTTGAGGTACCATTTTTGAAATTTACCACACACACACACACACACATACATACAGACACACACACACACACACACATACACACATACATATAGACAGACACACTCATTTAAATGCCTAACTCGTATTCATTTGGGGTTCTAAGTCATCATGCAAATTATACGGTGCGATTGAACATTATACGACCATTATGCATATCTTACACTCATATCCTTGGTAGCTGCCAGCTGCTTTGACATTATTCATCTAGTCCAGTGTGTGCCATTTGACAGATGTCACTATTGTGCAAGGCAGTTTTTTGAAATGATAATACACTATGAAAATGAGTAAATTTTTTAAGATTTTCCTTTGTATTAATAGAAAAATAGAAAAGCCTTTACAACAAAATAAAGATATTTTCATGAAAAACAGGCCACTAGTGTGGCCTTGCATTGTATATACTTTAATATTTGAAACCTAACTTGTTCACTAGTTCAAAATTGAATCATTTCTGAAAACACAATGGCCATGCCAAAATCTCCCCTAATCCCAAGGCAATATGCCAATACCCACATTATATTTTAACCTCAACTCGCAGATAGAAAATATCACTAGATAGAACTCCTTCACTGAAGGGAGAAAACCATTTCATTGACAATTACAAAGTCGTGCACATAAAGTTTAATGTGCCATTTTGATTAAGAGCATTATTAAGGTGTCAAATTGATCTAGTCCATTATGTTCTCCAAACTACAACATTGTCAAGAATAACTCTTTTAGATTCATTTGCAATGTTAAATCATGAGGATATATCAAAAAATGATAGACCATGAACGATGCAGGTGAATTTTGTCAGCATTTTGTCATGTATTCAATTCATACAGATAAACAATACAGTATCATATACCCATGTATGTGCTGCATGATGATATTGAGCCTAAACCATTGAAAAAATAGCAACAAACCTGATCAATTGCACAAGGAATCAGACAACGGAGCCTATCATTTCCTGAGAAGAGATGTGGAAATGAACTTGGAAATGATGGAACAGCCTGGAATTGTGCAAAATTAGCTGTCTTTCAACACATTTAATGTGGCATTAACTACTATCCTAAAATCAAGGTGAGGAAGTAATTGTGGTTGCAGATTCTATGGAAATCATGTATCGAATTTCTAGTCCAATTAAATCCAAATGATTTATCAATGCACACAACGTAAGGTATCAAATAAATATACATGGATTAAACAATTGATCACTTTCAGAAAAATTAAGATTTGAAGCCTGAGTGCAGACTTCAACTGCTAGAAAAAGAGAGATGTAAGTGGATTAAACAAATGAGAGGTTCAATAATTGAATGTTAAAAAATCATTGCAGTGGATACACTTCCCCCTTCTCCTGTGCAACTCAGGAGGGCAAAAGCAAAGAAGTGCAGAAAAAAATTCATTATAATTCCCAATAGTAAATGAAGACTATGAGCAATAATAAATCTCATGAACAAATAAATAAATAGATTTAGATAGATAGAAAACCTCCACCACGCATGGTAAATAGTAGTTTAATATAATCTTTAAACTATTTCAAATACCATCTTTTAGATGACCAAATTGGAAAGCACGATTTACAGACGGCATTGAACATTTGCTTGGCCAGGTGTATTCAATAGATTCCTATTGGGCCGAGGAAAAAATTATTTTATTTCCCTCCCTCCGCTACCTCTCTGTGTGGCTTTAGGAGGGGATCAAGGTGGCGATGGAATGCCGAGATAATGAAACCATCAATGAAATACTTTCTAAAAAAATCATGCAAGTGCTTGTTATGATTTCTACCTGAATTGGTGGAAAACTGACTTTTCCAATATGGTCTTCACCAGTGAAACCAAAAATGCCAACAGCCTGCAGCAGAATTTAAGGTCATAGGAAGTTAACAATCCCCATCAAATATGTAGTAAGCTGGGAGTAGTAATAAGCTAATGTATATGATACAGTTGAAACCTTTTCAATGTATCCAACCTTTTTGTGAAATTTATGTATTCACCTTATTGTATGTGACACATTTTGCAACCCTCACCATGTTCTTGTAAAAATCACTGCATTGAGAATTCTTGTCAATGGAAATTTTGACATTACAAAAATATGAAAGGCACCTTACTATTTCCCATTCACAACTACGCATGTTGCCTTAACATTATAAGCACTACATGAAAAGCACAAAACCATTTTAACTTTATAAAGCGTCCATATAGAATATCTATTTAAGTCAAAGGAAAACAGAATATGTACAGGTACTGCCTAAATTCTGAAAATCAAGGCGGTTAAAACTACTTGCCCTCCCACATAGTCGAAATCAGAGAAGATAAACGTCCTTGAAATGTCAAAACCACAGGCAATGATGTCCTTTGCATTCTCCCGGGCTAGCCTTTGGCTTTCCTCTACTGACAGATTCTTCCACATGCATTTCTCGTCATCTGTCAACTGAATTACAAGAGGCACCTTAAACGCATCCTGCAAATACCTATACAGCAAAAAAAATTGGCAAATTAAAAAAATGAAATCCATTTGCATGTTTAAGTATCAAAGTAGAAAGAAAAAAAATACTCATAAAATTAAAAAAAAACCCCTACTTGGTGAACAAGAATGGAATAAGATGACCCAAATGCAAGGACTCTGAAGAAGGTCCTCGGCCAGTATACAAGTAGAACTTGTCTCCTCTTTCATAAGAGTCTAGAATCTCACCAAAGTCACGATGGGCAAAGAAGACGCCGCGGCGGAGGAAGACGTGCGGCGAACGTCCGGTAAGCCTCTCGACGCGATCGATGAGGGACTGGTCCAGCCTTTGGCAGCCGAATTTGTCAATCAACTTATCGTAGTCGATTTTACCGCCGTCCTTGACTGACACTACCCATGGATTCACAACCTGTTCTTCTTCTTGCTCTTTATTTGAACCGTCATCCTTATTCTTCTCCATTGTTATGTCGAGAATGGTGGCTGCTCAACCTTGCGCACAGAATGCGCCGATATTTGAGACGCCTGCCAGCCGCCTGGTTTGTGATCTGCTCAGCTCCAATCGATTTTTGGAAGAATGAGCAAATGCTAGGGATACATACCCAGTACACCACCGACTTCTCTTCCAATCATTTTTATTTTATTTTTACTAGGGTATTTATTTTGACCCGTGCGACGCACGGGGTCGAACAAAATTTTTGTCGATTCCAATTTTGAGACTAAAAATGTAATATATTTTTCGGAATCAAATAAAATATATTTCTAACACGATTTTTAATCAATGAACAACAACGACAAAGTAGAATAAATAATATTTGAGAGATTGAAAGTGTACTCAAAAAAAACTTTTTTTAATTCCAATTTTTTCAAAGATTTTAGGGTACACAACATTTTTGGTATGGTTGTAAGAATTTCCATTATCATCCAGAACCAATATTTTTAATTATGTCTTTGCCTTCACTCGTGAAAAAGTAACATAAAGCTAACCATGAGTAAATATTGAATTGGTTAAAAATAATACAACAAAAGACAATGTTTGATCTTGACTTTTGTTAATAGTCATAACAAAATATAAGAATATTAAGAATTGTCTTCTCTAGAATTTCAAGGGTAGTTCTGAATCAAATGATACCAAATTCACTCGGGGTATATAAATCTTTTTCCCAACTGATTTCTCGAAACGTCAATTGCAGTGATAATGTTCTTTCTCAGCTTCTCAACGATTAATCTTATACCTTTACAAAATCCAGATATTTGGGCAATGTTTTTCAATGACATAATCGGTACCCCCTTTTTAAAAACTATTTTGTGATTTAGGATCCACGAACATTTGATTTTATTAAAAAATTGAAGTGTTATCCAATTGTTAACTTTGCATGAAGAATCAGAACTTAAGTACTCCTTTTCACCTCCTAGAATAAGGGATATGACAAATTCATTTATCATTCAACAAACTCGAGTGTGAGTGATAACATTGCACTATCCTTAAAAAAATAATTTTTCATGTTCTCTAGTAGGTTCGGATAAGTGAATTCCATTGTTCTCTTGAGGTGATAACTTATGTCAAGAATCAAGAATTCAGGCGGGATTTCAACGCGAATAGTTCCATTGATCACTTGTCTAAATTTTCTATCTTCGACTTTGATTATCTAATCAGAAAAAATATGTGCAAGAGAGTATAGATTAATGCAATCTCATATTTTTTGTCAATGTATAAATTTTACAATACAACCACATTTATGAGGAATTGGTTGTAGCACCTACAATTTCCTCTCTCAAAGCTATGATTAAAACTGAAAGAATTTGGATAAAATCACCTTTGAGTATGATTGTTTTTCCTTCGTATGATTAATTTATGAAGTTATTATTAGAAATTCTCATTACATCTCTCTTTGTGCAATATAATGTCTCAAAAGAAAATATATTCATCGTAGATGATAAATCCCGTATGATTATACCTGTTATATTGGGTCTGCTTTCGGGTCCCTTGTTTGGTGGCACACAATGAGCACTCAATTTGCACCAAAGGGATTAAAAATCTCGAGTCTCCTTCCCCTAGGTAAAATCAATGCTACAATGTAGTTGGATGCGACATTCAGGACAACATTACTGTTTGACCTCAGAAAAGCAGATAATGATTTCTAGAGAAATATTTTTCCAGTTCCACCGTAACCATGCACAAAAAAGAACTCTCTCTTTCAACTATCACGACTTCCATTATTTCATTAGATTTATTCCACTAATATTCATTCATCATAGATATAATATCCTCTAAGATCAAATGACAACTTTTCATGGACATAGTTTAACTCATCTACCAAAAAATTATTTTGATATCTATTAAGTTGATTGTGATCTCCAAATGGCATGCCACTGAATTCCTTTAAAGAGCGTCCATTCCAAATAAGCAACTCTTCAATCTCAATTAGACATAAATTCTTTAGGCCTTCTCGTGAGATTATAAGCTCTACAAAAAAAGGATTTATTTGTTTCTATGCAGTACTCAAATAAAGAGTTTTGTTTTCATATAATGCATTTCAAATTGATTGATAGGTTTAAAAACTTTCTTTATATTCAAGTACCTTGATTCCACAATATTCACATTCGATCAAATAAAATTTCATTCACCAGAAGTTCCTATTGTTTTTTTAAAACAATATGTGGGTGACTCATGATACATGGACGAACAACATTATTAGCATATTCTCAAATCCTAACTTAGCAATCTCTTTTATATCTTCAATAAGCTATTTATCATCGGTTAATAACCTTAATGCTTCACATGCTTCTATGAATGCGTTATGTAGAACATTGTTAACTCTTCTCAAGCTCTTATAACTTATACATCATCGCTGGACAGTTAATAATATTCTCAAGTAGTACCCCCTCCGTCCTATAATGATCTTCCCAGAGCACTATTCCAACTTCACGGGAATTTATATTTATTTGTGTTTTTTCATGGCCTATATGATAAAATAAAATATTCTTGTCACCACTTGTTTTGTTGAACTTTTGGTGTAGTTTTTAAATATGTATGTTTTATTTTTTATTTCTATACCAATATTTAAATAAAATAGATTGAAAAAACTTGGGATTTTACTTTGTTTTGCGAACCGGGAAGATCATTATAGGACGGAGGGAGTATAACTCTCTAGTTTCTGGACACACATTTTGTAGCCTGCCTATTGACGGTCTTTGTTGCATCGGACCATTTTCGCGCTTTGTTGTTGTACACAAAAAGATCTGGAAATTCTGGAAATTCTTTGCATACGTCAAATTTTATCCCGCATCATAGTGTGTATTGAAAATCATCCAAGCTTCAAATATTGAAGCTTTGTCATATTTTTTCGACAACATCTTTTAGCTTTTGTTGATCTCTAAAGGTTACAAATTTTAGCCATGGGAGATGGAAATTCAACCTCGAGTGTGTCCACCATATTAATGGAGCATCGTATAAATTTTTTGGGAAAAAATTACTGGAAAACTTAAATATTTAATTCAAAATAATAAAAATACCATTTGTCAAATCACAGAGCACATTCTTTCTCGAACGTGTTCGATGATGCGAGGTTATAGCCGATTACGACCTCTCTCCTTCTGTATTTGTAAAAACCATCATAAAATAAATATTGTAAATATTTTTATCTAAAAATTCTAAACATAAAAAAGTTCTATTATCGACTAATATTTGTTACATTGCTGTTGATTACGGTCAGATGAATAAAAAAGTAAGAATATTACTTATTTATATTATTTTGACATAAATGTCAAAATAGGCATGTTTTTTATTTTCAAGAATTTTAATTAATAGTAATTACACTTATAAAAATTAATATTATACCGTAAATATTTCGATTAGGAACACCAAATAATAATTAATTTCTCACACATAAATATTCACATACTAAGTCTTCATTATTTCAAAAATTATTAATGGAAAATAGTAAATTTGTGGCACACATATATAAATTTTTACAAAGTTTGTAATAGAAAATAAGAATTTAAAAATAGAATATACCAATTTTAAAATGGAACATACTTTTTATTTAACTTAGTATTTTTTAAATATATATGGAATAAAATTATAACTTTATTAAATAAACATGCCCATAAAAATCCTTTTCTTTTATATATCTATTTCTCTTTTTTCAAAGTTGGAAAATATCTCCAATTAGTATTAATTCAAAGTAAAAACAAATATTCAAACGTATTTTGTTATAGTTTTACCAATCTATCCGTTTTTAGAATAAATTTATTTCTTTTGATTATGGTTTTTGAATATGAGTTCTTTTTTCAATTTCAAAATATATTATTTAATTTAAATATTTTCCAACAAAGAATTAAGATATAAAAGTTTTAAACGCAATTATGTTGAGAAATTTGTGTGTAAAAATTTAATTTTCATAGAATAAGTTCTTTAATTAATTAATTCTTTAAATATAACTTGATGACATGGTGTGCTGACATGTCAAAAAATTGCCCAATAAGCACGCCACATGTCACTATTCTAGAAGCCTAACTCTCAAATATTATATATAAAGGATTTTTTTTTTTGAATTTCTTACTTTTTTTGTGGACAAGGAGGGGGTGGGGACAAATGGGGTACACATTTGGGGTACCCCTAGCATTTTTCTAGAAGAATTTATGGAAAAGGGTAGAAAAAGGTTGGAATTTATGAGAATGCCCTCCTAGATCTAACACAGATTCGCGTGAGGCGCGTCCGCTCTACTTGCGTGAAATGATTGGAAATGACAAAAAGGCCCTTCCAACCAAGAAACAAAATGTCACTGTTTACGACCGTTACTTCAAAAATTAAACGGAAATATTAAAATTAACGACCAACCGTTAGGTTGCCTTCGAAGCATCACGATGATTTTCGGAAAGGCCAAACAGCGTCGTTTGAAGTACCAACCCCTCCTGAATCTCCCGACCGGTCTTCGGAAACGATACGCCTTCATCAATCGAGACTCTTCTGCTCTTCGTTCTCCATTGCATATCGTCATCGGATACCTTCAAGAACTACCACACATTTGTTTGCCATGGAGAATACCGGAGCAAGTTGCGGGTTCTATTACAAGAGAAGAAGAACTCTCACCCAAACACGAAGGGAGGAGATGGAGAATGAAAACCAGGTATTTTCAAATAATCCTCACTTAAAACTAACTAATTTTGGTTTTATTTTGAACTATTTGGGATTGGTGTCAGATTTCTGCTGAGGTAACTCCATCTATGGAGGGTGAATCGTTCCCGGATGCTTCGGAAATTGAGGTGCATTGCATGTACACTAAAATATAACATTTAAAGTTTATTTTATTTGTTTTTGAAACATTCAGAAACAGAACAAGTTATTCGACCATGGAAATCATCAATATAATGTTACACTAATTGGTTACAGTGTCGAATCTATTTTTTGATTAGTTCTTGATTTTAATTCTAGGTTCCAGCATTGGATTGCACCATTGATATTGATAAAATATCTGGAATGAAGTTAACCCTGAAATCTTCTTTGGGAGAATTCCAGAATCTAATGAGCGAAGGACTTGGAGATCATCCAGAAGTCCTTGCTTTATTTAGGGAGAACACCCCTTTTTTCTCATTTTTTGGATGTTGAGTGTATTCCTCATCCTCGGTTCTTATGGCAACTCATTGCGAGGGAAGCCAAAATAAAGAGGAAAGGAGAGATGTGGTTTGTTGTCAAAGGAGTTCCTGTCAGGTACTCATTGACGGAGTTTTCACTCATAAGCGACCTCAACTGCTCTCACCTTAACGCTGGCTTTGAAAATTATAAGGAATTAACATATGCAAAGAATGATTTCATTCGATCTCACTTTCCTTCTACAAAGAAGGGAAAGAAATCTGCTGCAGTCACATACAAGATGGTTGTGCAGCGTTTCTTGGACATTTGTAAAGGCTTGGACAGGGAAAAGAAGAAAGAATGCCAGGAGATGGATGCTGTGAAAATGGCAACACTATTGTTTGTTGTTGTTGTTGTTCTCTTGGGTCCTGCTGATCGTGACAAGTCTGCAATTCTAGATTGGATTCTGGGCATGATTGCACAATGGACAGTAGTTCTAGATTTCCCATGGGGAACATGGGCATTTATGGAGTCCTTGGGGTCACTGAGGAAAGACCTAACTGCTAAGGCCAAATCAATTAGAAGAGGGGCCTCATCAACCATGTACTATACTGGTTTCTTGCTTCCCATTGTGGTAAGGATTTTTTCAATTATAATATTTCTTATAATTTTTATTGAAATGTGATCTCATTGAAACTTTCAATATGAAAAGATCTTTTTTCTGGAGAGTTGCTTGGGGACTGAAACAAATATTACAACAAGAAGCCCACAGACATCCCCAGCTAGGCCAAGAATCTGCCTTTGGGGTGACATTCTAATAAAGAAGAAAATCACCCACACAAAAATGGATGCTTACGTTGGGGACGTGCAGGTATTTACATATTATTGGTCCGAACCATCTTCAAAGCCACCATCCAATGTCGCGTCTACCTCATTGCCAAAAGA